TGGCCTAGAGCTTCATGTTCTTTGTTTTCTATGTACATGTAAGTGCTGAGAGTGTTATTATACACCTTGTTAATGATGAAAACGTTAGCAATGTAGTTGGAGTGCTTGCTGTTTATGTTTTTTTGCCTACGCGAACATCTTGAAACCACAATACATGAGGGACGAGCAATATAATGTTATCAATCAGGTCTTATGTGTCACCATCCTTAGCAAATTAATTCAACATTCTCATAATGTACGTACATGTACCTGTTGTACATTCTCATTGTTATGCATGTTTACTGAGAGTTTGTGTGAACAATACAGACACTGTACATGGATGAATGAATGATGGGTGAAAGTGAAACTCGCTATCCATCTAAGATGGGACCAGATCATTCTGAAAGCCGTTGAATGGAAAGTTGACAGATTGAATTAACCAGTTTTCAGTGATGCCACATTGTATCATTAAGGTTGTGATTGCTAGGAGTGGTTTGAATGAAATTTTTGATTATGACATGCTTTCATTCTCTTGTGTTGTTGTTTTACTTACATTGCCTCTGAGAGGTTAAGGGAGGAGGGGGGGGGGGTAGGAGGAAGAAGAATGATTCTTATCTCCCATGATTCATTATTCCAGAGGGGCCATTCTCCGCTATCCACAATTTGCTCAGGTGCACCATGGGAAATTGAGAATTGATTGCTTGCTGTATGTGGTTAATGAAGAGACACTCACACTTGAAATGCAAACTACGTAGCAGACAGAATATAGACATATGTTTCACCATTTACATTTGTTGAAACTTGTCATTAACAACCCCGTAAAATTTGTTATTCAAAATTTTAAAGAAGAATGGTGTATTTACAAATGTATAGTATTTAACATTCTGAACTTAAACATGAGAAAAGTTTCAATGAAAGCAAATAAAGTAGATATTGATTATGACATGCTTTATAAATTTATGAAATATAACCGTGTGACAAAATTATACCTACATGTACAGTAGGTATTGCACAAAGGGGATTAGATACTGTAACGTGAGCATGGATAACCATCAGTGATTTGTTTCAGGATTAAAAATAAAGCAACACAACTGATGCATTGAAACTTTGAAGTGTGACTGCCACCATGAAGCAAACGAGGGGAGATCATCAGGGAAAAAGGGGGATAAGAAGTGATGTTATCGGTAGGAAGGTATTAGTGTGGCACAAAAGCTTGAAAAAACATGCCATGTGCAATTTACTGTTGACAGTTGAGTGTTACTCACAGCACTCACCTTTTGGAGAGAGGTGACAAATTTCCCCTCCGAGTCCTAGAGTAATATACAACAATGGTCATTGTCGATAATTCTTTCATCCCTCTGTCATGTTTTAAAGTGATTTCTCTGAATTTCTGAACATGAATGTACAGTGTAATGTTTGACATCAAGAAAGGGTGCGGGATTGAATTTAGATTGATGTTGTTTAAAGGATAATACACAGATGCTAAGAATAAGATGAAGCTAGTTGAATCCAATTAATGAATTTTACCACAAAGCAAGTGAGATGATTTAATTACCTACATGTAGCAGTTGTTAAGGAACTGCATGTAGATCAATTCCTGGACTTTTGATAATTAGTTTAGTGTAGTTTTTCCAAGAAGTTGCATTAAACTTTTTTCCCTTGATGCTTTTTGCAATTGGGATAACATGATCACATATGATAGAAAAGATGTTGTCAAACACATGTTGTGGACTATACATTACCGGTGGTGGGTCTAATTATGCCAGATAACATTTCAATCTTCAATGAACTGTTTCTGCATATTTTTTCAAAAGAAAGATCAGTGCTCTCTTTCTTTTTTGATGTTCACTCTCTCCCTCTCATTAATTTCCTCTTTTTTTCTTTCCGGTTGGACTGTGAATTACATATGTACATTCACCATGTAGGGAAGATTTATCTATAGCTACTTTGCAATAATAATAACAATAATATTTAATTTTTATATAGCGCTTAATACAAATGTCTCTAAGCGCTTTACAAATATACATGTACATACATGTGTTTACTGTATACTACAATGTACATACATGTACATGTAGTTCTTCACATATGTTTTACTGTATTTAAAATTAAAAATATGTTTAACACAAAATTTTAAGGTTTTTCCAGTAGCGCATTTAGTAGGTAATGATCTGAAAGGAAATATGGAAGGACATCTTATTACAAATTGACCATAGGGAAGGAATCATGCCCCGTAGAAAATTTAGGCAATCAATTTGATAGATCTTTAGATTTTTAAACTTCATTCATCACATATACAGGATACAGCAATACTACCAAACATGGCCGCTAAGAAAAATAGGGAAATAAAAGCAACTTGCTTCAGGGAATCCAAGCTATCCCATAATTTCTCCCATTCTCTAGTTCTCACACTGCTACTTTCAAAACCTTTCTTGAATAATTTGAATAGGAAATCAAACTGGAGTAACTTTCTCACTATCTGTGCTATCGGGTGGAAACACAAGATGTGATATGAGTATGTGGTCACACTCCATAATTGATTCTAGGCCTTCATACAATAACTTGTCCCATATGTTTGACATCAAAGACCTTTCATATTTGGATTTTAACTTTACTGTGATGTCTTTCCTACCCAAATATTATTCATATTTCAAAAAAAGATTATAGAAAAAATTTATGTCACACGTTCAATAGAAATTAGTTTTTTTCTGAAGTTTGATATTTTGACATTTAAAAAGTCAAATATATTTCAAAATTCTGTCATCTCGTTATAGGTTTTTAAATAATAATAATAACAATAATAATGATTAAGATGATGATGATGATAAAAATAATAGTAATAATAATATGATATAATGGTGACATCACCTCAGTAGTGCCTTAGGTCCATGGATTAGACCTGGCTCTATAGGTGTAGATAAGATATAGATTTGAGAATGATAAGAACAAGATAATAATAATGATGAAAATAAGATTAATTAATTAATTGTAATGATGATAATAATAATTATAATAATAATAGTAAAAATAATAATAATAATACTAATAATGATAATAATAATGATATTAATATTTGTGGCTTCTTAAACAGCTGACTTATTGTGATGCTCCTGGTGCTCCAACATTATTAGTCCACTCATACATTTAGCTGGTGGCCAAAAATGTGGCATATTACATGTACTGTAGCTAGGTACCTACATGTATGCCTTGCTTAATGATGGTAGTTTTAAGCTGGGGTCAAACTTCAACCCTTTGATTGAGAGTCAAGTAAATGAACCACTATACCCTGGTACCTCCACAAAATAAATGGACAACTTTGAGGGCTTAATAAGCATGATTGATTGTACTTACAAGTGCAATAAATGAATATGGTAGATTCGAAAGTGTGATATTCAATATTTCTGCAATATACTGCAGGTAGCTGTGATGTCTGGATATGATCAATTATAATTTATTTTGCTTTTCTTGTGAGCTAGTTTTCAATAATTCAAATTGTTATTTGTTAACCAGGTCCATAATTACAGTTATATTACTGATTTTTAAAGTGAAACTATAAAAAAAAAAAAAAAAATTCTCAGAAGAACTTGTTGTTTGCTATTTTGAAGGGGGCGGGGGCAGCATTCTAAACACATTTTTTCTTCTTCCAGTCATGTGTATAAAGACCGATATAAATTATAATTACCTGATTAAAACGTTTCTTGAAGATAATTGTGAAATCATAGGAAAGCATATATTTCGTATCATTGCTGAAAAAGGAAACTCACACGATTGTACATTTAAGCTTTTCTCTCCCTAATCAGGTGTTTCTGTGAAACTTGGCATGAAACATATATTCACACGTTGGCTTTGAATCAAATATAGAACAAAATTATATTCTTTATATATATATGATAAAGATCTGATTGGCCTCCATTAATATTTAATTCTGATTATTACATAATCAGAATTCGAAATTAAGGCTTACCCTTAATCTAGTTATATAGATAATTAATCTGTGCTAGTGTTCATGTCAATGTAATCTCCAATTGATATGAAAGAGTTTTCATGAATATCACTGCTAAAAAAAATGACTTGAGACATGAACATTTGTGTTTAAACTCTTTGTATGTTGTAAATTTTTGGTCATTTACCATTTGAAACACAAAATTTGTATCAAACCACATGATCTATTTTTCATGTGGCATAACATGATTGAAAATTAAATTTGCTCCAATTATTGAGCATATTTGTAGGCCTCATAAATATGATAGGTAAAATTAGTAAACACTTGCACCTAAATATGAAGAAGAAAAAATGAAATTGCTAACTCATTGTCCAACTTGTCCATTCGCCTGCTTCCCTTGGGAACCCCCCTCCCAGCTAATGGAACAGGCCATATGTCTGACACAGGACAAGGAGGAAACTCGTGTTTCAAGGTGACACCTTATCTGATATAGGGAGGATGCTGATTTAGTGTTCAGGAGGGACCCTGCCGGAGTCCAGGGCCATATTTTGTGCCTTTGTGTTCTTGAGATATAGCGGTCAAAGTTGACACCAGCTTCAAGCGTTATTTAAGCCATCGACTCTGGCATTGAGGACTGACTTCTGATGAAGGATCATGAAGAATCTGATTAAAACATGAAGCATATGATCATTTTAGTTTTCTTCGATGCTCACTTTTGAAGAGTCCTAGTTTGGTACATGTAGAACTCAATTTTGATGGCGGTCAAGGCACTACATGTACCTGCCCAAATGTTTGTAGCCTATTTTCTCTTCTTTCTTAGAGATTGGAAACATGTGTCCTGTTCTATTCAGATGAAATGCTTTAAAGAAGAGTTTCTTCTCTCTAATCCACAACCTTATGACTTTGTGATAAATCTTTCCCAACACTATTACATTGTACCCTTCTTAAATTCTTTATAGTGGTATTATGAAATGTACATGTATATGTTTGTTAATTAGAAATTCATTACTTAAAAGAAACCATGAGTGTTTTTCTATGATTTTATAATTTTCTCTTTCTCCTTTAATCTGTCTTGCAGCTTGCTAGTTTGTACACAGTGAAGGCAGTGGCTATCCTGGACAATGATGGAGAGAGGTTACTAGCAAAGGTACTGTGATATGCTCAAAGATATTCTTCATCTATAGATTTTCAAGTATTTCAATGACCCTGAAATTTTATGCAGTTTTAAAATGTGTGTTACTTAATAACAAAGTGAGTATTTGTCTGTGTACATGCATCACTGAAACTTTACAGCTATCCAAGATGTCAATATGTGGAACTTTTGTAACAAATACAAAATATTACAAATGGTATTTTTTAGCTGATATCCAGAAGTTTTTTTGAATTACCGCAGGTAATGAATATTAAATTTACAAATCAGTATTAAGTTTAATGTATAAAACAGACAACAAGCAAACAAATGCAAAAGTACTTGAACTTTCCAGTATCTGTCCCAAGCAAAGGTACTTTTATATATAAGTCAACCCCTTTGAAATTTCACATAACAATTGCATAACTTTTCTATATTATGTTGTATGTGCAGTACTACGATGACACATTTTCCACTGCCAAAGAACAGAAGGCATTCGAGAAGAACCTCTTCAACAAGACACATAGAGCAAATGGTAAGGTTTGAACAGATACTCTCCAATCCTGTGAACTCTGTTTGTAACCCTAATTTGATGCTTTCCACTATGGTTCAGAGATGTGGAGATATCGGTGGGAAAGTCCAATGTATTTAATCATTGTGTGTCCCATACATTACCAAGTATTGAGGATTTGTGAACATTTTGACACATTTTGAACAAATTGACTTCAAAAATGTAATTTCTCTTCGTATTTTCTATTTGCTCCAAGCTCTTGAAGAGCTATTAATCTTATGCAGTGATCAGATACACTTATATCTTACTTGTTAATGTATGGGACAATATAGCTTAGACTTAACCTGGTAGAATTTAAGAATAGGGCTTGCAAAACAGAAATCTTATGAATGCTCATGTTGCAGTCACTGATTGTAATAATGATGAAAGATAAAGACCTTCTTAGGTGCTTCATTATAAAAAAGCTCTTTCTACCATTACTTTGTGAAGAAAGTTTGACCTTACAAGAGTTTTAAAAGACCCCCAGCAGAGTAGGGAATAAGGGATGTAATAAATGAATGACAGGTGGAGCAGACTACTCTTTCCTCCCTTTCATGGCCAGCATACACTCTAGGGTGGAAGTATGATACAACTTTACATTTTGGTATAACATCTAGCTCCTCTCCTTTATGTTCAATGTCTTTCATTCACTTGTTGGAGGGGCCCGTCATCCCAGCATGCTGCCAATCCCTATTCCCGTGGATGGTGCAGTCCAGAGGACACTCGGTGGTGTGTGAAATGGCAAAGTTCATTCCGCTTTCCAGGGGGATTCCATGCATGCAATGTTTTTGATTTCCCCATCTTCCTTCCTGTCATTGGATGGTGACTTTCTTGGGGAATCTTCAGACTAGACCGTCAGGGATGGGATCTGTTGACTCAATATCAAAGAAGGGCCCTTACTTTCTCTCTCTCTCTCTCTCTCTCATCCCCTCATCCCTCTAAATGTGAGGACTTGATGCTTTGTCTTGGGAACTTTATGGTTAAAGAGAGAAATATCCTTATAACTATGTCATCTGAACCTGATGATAATAGAATTCAAAGCCATTGTAAGTTCCTTGTCTATGATTATGAATCAATCGACAGATTAAAATTTTATGACACAAGATCATTTCTGTTATAAATTTTACACCAAACATGCTCTTGATGATCTGAAAATGTTAATAAAAATATACCTAATACAGTCAGAGACAAAATATATTCATACACTTAAAAAACATTACCGGTAAAATTTATTTATCATCTTGGTATATATTTTGCAATTAGGAATTCCAAAAAAAATGTAATTGCAGAAATAGAAGTTATGTCATTTGTTATTTTGCAAATACATAAGATGTATTTCTATTTCAAAATTTGTGCTAGAACTTTGTTTGACTTTCCAATACTGGGGTTAAATTTAGATGACCTGAAAGTATAGTTATGAGCTTTTGATTTTAGAAGCTCACTACATGTATCTTAAGGGTTTGATTCAGGTCTATTTTTAGTTTGCATAACCTTGCGTTAGACAGATGTTCTGTATGCCTCACACATTTTACCATTTGTGAAGAATAATGATTCTCATTTCTAAATTTTAATATTGGGGGAATGGAATTTGTCAGTTTCCTCACTTTCCTGGGATATTGATGAAAGAAGAATGGTAATTTCTCTTTCTTGTCAGTACTCAGTTTAAAAAAAACAAGATTGAAATACAGTGACTTTTCATTTATGATTTGAAGGAAACATTTGTAACCATGACACTCTTGTGAATAACTTTATATTTGTTAATGTTTATATTGCCTTCTTTGAAATATATGGATGATATCATGAGATGCAAGCTGAAAAGAATTAGAATAGAACAAATGTCACAGAGCAATGTTTGAGGGGACTTGTAATCAATGTCTGTTGAAAGCTTTGGTTTTACAGGAAGTATTCATGAAATGAATTTTTATTGTGAAATTTTATTCTGTCCAAGCTAGATAGCTCTGTGAACATAATACATTTGTAGAAGAGTTGCCATGTCATACAGGGAATAATGGAGAATACCTGACAATATTTGCCTTCCAATCTTATCACATGCCAGCAGTTTTTCAATTAAGGAGATAAAATCTTTTCTAAGCATTTTAATATAATTCTACTTGGAGTCCCTTACTTGTGAAAGAAATATCATAGGAGAAAAGAGGTGGATAGTAAGTTCTGTTTTTGTATAAATTGGTTTCTCAATCATCGAGAGTTGGTTAAGAGATATATCATTAAGTGCTCGCCTTCTTGGAGTTCCTGAGAGCTCAATTCTGCGTAACGGCGCTCCAGGCCAGCGGGGCATGAGTGTCTCTGGGATGTAAACGAGCCTTGAATGCCTAGCCCGCAGGCAGTATTCCTCCTCTTGTGACTCAGGTTGGGGGGGGGGAACAAGTTATGTTTTGTGATTGCATCTCTCTCTCTCTCTCTCTCTCTCTTTTGCTCTTTCTTAAGTTTGCCCACCTTTAAAAAGAAGCATGATGGGAAGAAGGACATTTAGGGTTTTGCAGACCATTGAGTAGGATATAAAAGGAATAAATAAAAAAATAAAAATTATATTTTATTCTTCTACGATATTGATTACTTTTCATTGGAATATCCTGTACTCTTGACACTTTCTTTCTTTCTCTCTCTTATACCCACTCTCTTTCTTTCTCTCTCTTATACCCACTCTCCTTGTTTCATTTCATTTCACTCCTTTTTTCTGCTGAAGATCAATGAGAGAGTATTCATGTGTGATAGATAATATATTCATTTAAGATAAATCTGTATTAATTAATCTATTCAATTAAAAGAAAAAAAACGAGAAGAAAACAGCAATATCATTACAAGAAAAAAGATCTAAGATATGAAGGCAGTAAGACGCATCAAAAATTCATATAGTACTTGGCAAAACTTAAATTGTTTTAGACCTAAAACTTCTAATATACAATTAAAAAAAAAAAATGTCTGACTGATTAATCACATTCCTGGACAAAACTGCTCACAGTAGGTTTTTTTCATACAATCTCTGTGGAGGTGGCATGATTAGTATCATTGCCCTAAAACATACAAACCTAAATTGGACTGTTTTCCATTGGGGTTAGATTTGAATCCTAATGTCATATCTCTTGCTCACAGTGTACATATACTTACATGAAACTTTCATGCATCATTCTTTTTACCTTTTTGATACATCCTCCTCTTCAAGGGGTTACATTTTTTGTGGTTTTTACCCAGATCCTCGAAGAAAAACAAGATTCTCAGGTTTGCATCAGATCACTTGTTCTCCAAACAAATATCGGTGTGGGCGTCTGTCAGCAGCAATAAATAGGCTCAGGGCAGGACAGGATGGGAGTTTGTGATAAGAACAAACCATGGAAAAGGTTCCCAAGTCTCTTGGTAGCCTAAGAAAACCCAAGACATTGTTTGAACATAATTAGGCTCCCCCTGAGTTTAGAAGCAACCTTCTCATGATCATCCACCTGATGAGGATCTAGGGAGAATGGTTCAAGAATAAAGATGGAACACCCTCAAAGTACCTTTTAGGCTTTATCTCTTTTGTCCTTTTAAGACTAACTTAAATATTGTTGTCATGGCTGTGTCTGAACCCATAATAACTAAGGCCTTTGGGATGGACGTATTCACTTTGTTTCAGTTGTCCTTGAACTAGTTTTTGTTTTTGTTTTTATAGTATTCATGATGGCTCTTAAATCCCAATACAGACAGTGAATATATCACCTGTTTAGAACCAGATGGACATTAATTCATATACTTTAACACAGAGCTAACATTCTACTGGCTGCAAACAGACCATATAAGTGCTTTTTACAGACCAAGCAACAGACGATTCTCTTAATACATATCTAAATGTCATCAAAGAAAGTGAGAGAAGCCATTAACTCTTTGCTTGCCAAGGACTTAATAGTTTTTACACTTCCAAATTGTTTGGTAGGTAAATTTCTATGAAAAACAGTATTTGTGACAAAATTGGCCTAAAGCAGCCCCTTGCATGTTCTTGAGGTTGACCAAAGCAGGTAAAGAGTTAAGGAATTCATTTGAATAGATAGATAGACTCAATAATTCATAAAAGAAAATCATATGATCCCACTAATCTTTGCCCAAAAGATTGAGAAAAAAAACTTTAAGAAATTAGAAAATTAAGATCCTATACTCCAGGAGAAGAGGAAGAATGTTGTCTGACACATATTTTCTTGTGCAAATTGATTTAGGGTCAACATTTTACACTAACCCAGCTCTTACTCCAACCCTTGACCAAACACTTTATGCAGTCCTAAACCTAACCTTAATACCTCGATCGCAACCCTAACCATATATCTTTTTATGTGGAGCATATAAGTGGGAAAATCTGTATAAAGTAATCATCATAAAAACACAGATGCATTGATATTTTACAAGTGACTATTGTAATCAGTTTGATAGCAATGCTCACAAGCACCAAACTTATTTAATAATGTTATTTTCCTTTTCTTGCAGCTGAAATCATCATGCTTGAGGGGATGACGATAGTGTACAGGAGTAATGTTGATCTACTCTTCTACGTGGTAGGAAGTGCATCAGAAAATGAGCTTATTCTTGTGAGCGTGCTAAACTGCCTCTATGATTCCGTCAGTCAAATCCTTAGGTAAGTATAAGGGGGACGTGACCCATCTAGGAAGACCAAGACCTCATGGTACAGAGCTTGTGATTGGACAAAAGTTCCTGTCAGTTGCAGTTGTTCATGAGAATAGCCAATCAGCAGTCATGTACTTGCTTGAAACTGTTTTACAGTGGATTCTGATTGGCTATTGTCATGGAGGTGGAGATTGATTGTGACTCTTTTCAATTATATTAAGTTGTATGCAGTGGCATATCTTCCTGTCTCACAGAGACTAACTGGCTCATATCCAATTGTCTCCCATGAAATGTTGACACAAATGTCGATCTTCTCTTCAGTTAAAATTTAAAATCACCAAAATGTCTTGTTTTTATTTTTTTGTTATAAATATACCTGTAGTAGAAGCAGGATCAGGTTGCTTCCGAATGAAGAGATGGATCTACTGTCTACAAATGTTTGGATATCTGCACAAAATTTCGGTTCTGCCAGTCGTTTGCAAACAGACTTAGTATGCCTTTGATATATCTTTCCAAATATAAACTATTTCCCCCATTGAGGATCATATTTTGGAGAGACAGAAATTTGAAGGATGAAGATGTCTTGCTGTATTTTTGTTTGAAAGTCTTCCTCAGTCAAATACATTGAAACAAAATCTTCAATTTTCTATTTGTCTGGTTTCATAGCAACAACAGAAACAAGAAATAACCAGCTGAAAAAGAAAAAAATGGATTGGATAGAATACTCAGGGGCTTGAATATTTGCTCTCCTTTTCAAACAAAATTGCTAGTTTGACTTTTGAATTGAAACAAAAACAAAACTTTCAACAAATATTCATTTGTCTGTATCCTCATTCTCTGCCAAATACAAACCCAAAGGATTTGGAGTGACTCATTGTTCATACAACAAAAGAAAGATAAGCTGAGAATGACTTGATTGTATCTTAGTCCCAGCTCTGCAGCACGCATTCCGTGATTCCTCATTCTTTTCCTGCACTGTTTTCCCATCCTCTGCCTGACTTGTCCCCAAGTGTTCGTAGGACGTTCCCCCTCGTGGGACCTCTCCTTCTTTTTATAGGCAGCAGACAGGTAGTGAGTGAGAGGTTTGGTTTCACAGGTGAGTTACTACGCACATGGTTCCACTTCCAAGCAACATGGCATCGCTAATTGGGCATCCTTCTGCAAGAAGATGAAGATCAACTTTTCAGCCGTTTTATTTTCCTTCCTTATAAAAAGTAGATAATACACGAAGCCCAGGTGCAAGAAGGGGCATTCCCCTTCATTTCTATTTCTTATCATCAATCACAATTGTTTGCTTGATGATTGATGATAAAAAAAGAAATATATTGCAAATCAATGAGTATTCTGTATTATTTTGTTTGTTGCACATACAGGTACCCTAAACAAAGACTTAATATAGTTAGAAAGAGGTATTTGTGCCTCCCCTCAACCCCCACAGCCTGCTACCCCAGTAATTCACTTTGTCTCACAACCTAATCTCACTTATCTCAAATCGAGTTATCCATTGTTCCATTACAGAGGAAATACTGCGGTTCTCTGTTGTCTTGCTATCTCACTCTTTTTATTGAACGCTTCCCAGGTACTGTAGCTTATTCATGCCAAGGCTTCACTCCTCACAAATTCAACTAGAAATAGGTATTCAATTGTTGAAGTCTGTTGCATGATTTCTATTTATTACTTCTGAATGAAATGCTTCAATGAAATAGTGATGTACTGATGTTCCTTTTTTATGACAGATTTATAGAGGTAGAGACTGATCTTGTGATGCTTTTGGTTCTAGAGAAAGATGCTCTTTCAGAAATGTTATGATCTTATATGAAATATTAACCTTTGGTGTGATTGATGATTCACAAGATATTGTGTGAAGAGAGGAGATGTTTGCAGCTTGTTCATATGCTAGCTCATCCTGTTCAAAGAGCCCCTTTAGAATTGATCTTCATTATACATTTATATATATATATATATATATATATATATAAATAGAGACTAGAGAGAGAGATACAATGCTTTTAATTGGAGGTCATTAGGTCAAAAAGGTCACTTCACATAAAAGCAAAATATGGTGGTTTTGTCTTCATCTTGTCGACCACTTCTGTTTCATTTGAGCTTTAGTTATCCTGAAATGCCTCCATCACATCCTGTTGTAAACACAGACTATGTTAGTTATAATCCTATAAAACGCAATCATAGAAATAAATATTAAATTAGGGAAGTAATGCTTTCGAGTTAGTAGTACATTGAGCCAAGTCACTTGAATTTTACTTTTAAGTCTGAAGTCCTGTTATTATTCTTGGGCGATAATCAAGTTTAGGTGTTGTTTTGAAGTTGAACTGAATGTTATAACTTACACAGATGTGCATTAATCTACATATGTGTCCTTGGGCTTGGCAGGGCCCTTAATACGAGTGTTCATACTGCATAAACTAAGTTGCTACAAACTTAGTTGAATTAATTTGAATCTGTACCTTTTCAAAAAGGACAAGGATTTTTTCAGGTTATTCCAGGGTATTTCATATTTGGATTTTTGAATATTTGCAAAAGATGGATACCTGTACTATCATTTAGCAAGAATGTTCTTATGGCATATTTGTTACATAGTAATACATGTATACCTTGGATTGTTTTGAACGTATCCAATTCAGACATTACTCAAACAATATTTTTATATAGAACTTGTGCATACAGACTCTAAATAACGTACTTCATTCCGATCCCCTTCCACAGAAGTTAGTGTAGAGCCCTGGATAAAGCCAAGTTTTCTGTTACCAAGATTAAAATGAGTGGGAACACAGTATCACCTGTGTAAACACACTTCTACATGTACTTTAAGGTCAACACAAAAGTATTTCATGTCGGTTTGGTTAATATGTTTTACATAGTTATATCCCAACGTAGCATATTTATTCTATGAAAACCTTGTGCAGGGCTTCAATCTAAGCTTTCAATTTGCTGGTCCGGACTGACAATTGTGTACTGAACCCTTCCACGTTTAGTATTGAGCCACGTCGAGTGGAAACACAGCTTTTTTCTAAACTCAATCTCGCTGGCTGGCACAATCTTGACATTGACTTGTGGGTTTCCCAGGTAGCTCATTTCCTGCTAGCATGGGCAGGCTTGCCAAGTCCACTGTTTACTCAAACCTTCAAATGGTAGTGATGAAAACCACACATGCCCAACCATACTGGAGCAGGTCTTCAAAATGTAATGAAATGAACAAAGCAACCATTTAGAATGCTTTACATTAGGAAGGAATATGTATTCCTCAGATTATATGGTAAAGAACCTTAGTATCCTTTGGATTGTGTTTATAACATTTATGAGTAGGGATACAATGAACAAAGAAACTTCTTTATGTTTCCTTTGCACATTGCTCTTTTAAACACTGTTTTTAAAGTGATATTTGGCCCTATTGAGTAAGGATCTTAGCTTATCAGAATTTTAAAGGAGATTTTTTTTTTCTTTCTTCAAATTCATACAAATTGTATACTTCATTAGAAACAAACTATTTGGTGCAATGTTTTGGACAGGCATGGCAGAAGGGTGTTGATTGCAAATCTTTCAAAAAAGCTTTCAAAAAAATATTTGCTTCACTATTAGTTTCTTTTTTTCTGTCATTGAATTTGACATCTATTATTTCCATCTCATCCTTAATTTGTTGTTATCAAGGCACCTTATTATCAAAGAAACTAATCACAAATAAGTTATTTTTGAATGATTAGCAAATGTCATGTCTTGTGTATGGACCATATCAGCAATCATTCTTCACCACCCTTGTTGGAGGAAATTGTTAATTATGTTTTCAAACCAATTCATTCTGAGAGCCAACTATAGCTCCTTCATGTTCCCAATCAAGACTTCTCTCGCTAAGCAGTGAGAAAAAGAGGCAAGACTAATTAAGGCATTTGTCACCAAGGCCTAGATACAGTGCTCAGCTAGATGAGGCAGAAGTAGTTTGGAGTTTCAGGTGATTTGGGTCGGGGGAAATGAAACCAGCATCTTATATTTAATTTTAGTTGTCCATAAAGTGAGTCAGCAAAAATAGTCTTTTCAGATGTACTTTTCTAGCGTGAAGCTCTTTATAAGGTCTGTGTATGTACCTTGTGCCTAGGTAAGAAGGGAAAATACATTGATGAGTTCAAATATTATCTATCAGATATTGTGTAAATCTGCAATACTCTTGTATGTATTTGCAGCCAAAGTAGAACCAAAACAATATCTCTGTCATATAATCTGTCACTATATGCTTGTTTTAGTTATTTCCAATTTTAGGGTAGGATAACTTTCTTGAAAAGAGGATTAGATGTTGGACCTGAGAAACAAGCAGCAGTAGAAAGCCAAACAGAGTGGATGAATTCAATTTAGAACCTTCCCTGTTACTTTCCATTGTCTCACAGGAAGTTGTGTGCAAGATTTACTTTTGTTCTCAGGAAGCAATCGTGAAGATTCCAGATTTTGCTTACTCCTAGTCTTCAGTCACTCCAGGAGGGTTCTGGTGAGGGGGAGGGTTCTGCATGGTGAGGGGGAGGGCAGGATACATCAAATCTTTGTCTCGTTCCCCTTCACTCCCAGTATATATTACCCTCATGGATGTCTTTTGAATGGGTTGTGGGCTCGAGAAATGGTTAATTTGTCTGAGGAAATTTGCAGAAATTGCTCAGGAACCTCTTCCTCTTGTGCAAGGTGGCAGGAGAGAGAGAGAGAGAAAGGGAGAGAAAGAGAGGGAGGGTAATATCTTTTCTGCTCCTAGTCACTAACCTTCTTTGGGTTTTGTTTTTTAGATAGGCTTTTAAAAGTTCCATTACCTTGAGATGCTAAGTGTTTTTATTTTGTGCACAGGCTTGTGCTGGTAATAAACTATATGAAAAGAAAGTGAAATATAGGAATGATGCTGCTTTAGTTTGAAAGTTTCACCATAAAGGAGTAGAAGAAATGAAGGTCAGAAGTATAAAAGAGTATGAAAAAGAGACAGAATGTGAGGATGAAGAAGAACTGTCAAAATGTGAAATAATT